GGCTCCGCGGCGACGGCGACCGGCGCTCGTGCGACTTCCGCGAGGACGACTCGGTGCACGCGTACCACCGCGCCACCAACGCTGACTACCGTGGCGGCGGCGGCGAGCTGGCCAAGTACGGGCTGCCCGGGCTGGCGCAGCTCAAGAGCCGCGAGTCGTACGTGCTGTGCTACGACCCGCGCACCCGCGGCGCGCTCTGGGTGGTCGAGCAGCTGCGGCCCGAGCGGCTCCGCGGTGACGGCGACCGGCGCTCGTGCGACTTCCGCGAGGACGACTCGGTGCACGCGTACCACCGCGCCACCAACGCTGACTACCGTGGCAGCGGCTTCGACCGCGGCCACCTCGCCGCCGCCGCCAACCACCGCTGGAGCCAGAAGGCGATGGACGACACCTTCTACCTGAGCAACGTCGCGCCCCAGGTAGCGCCCCGTCCCTCTCTGAGCCTCGTCCTGCTCCTCTGCGGGCTGGGACGCGGCGAGTGCGCCCCCTCGGGGAGGCGCGTGCTTGACGGCCCGCGAGCTCGGGGCCCAGCTCCCGCTCCGCCTGACTAAACCCCGGGCCCCCTGGCATCACCCTGAGCCTCAGGGCGCTGCTCATCTGTTAATTGGGGATGATGCCGTTATCCACCTCTGCGCTGTGAGCGCGCTGCCTGGCTGGCACTCAGCAAGCATCGGGTGCCCAGGAGGGAACTGAGCTGAGCTTGCTGGGGGGATTTGAGTGGGGGAGGCGCCCAGCAGTCAGCTGGCAAGGCCCTGCTCTGCCTTCCGGCAAAGGGAGACTTGCTCTGGGTCTGCTGTCAGCGGGCGCTGTGCTCCCTGGACCAGCACTCTACCTAGGCATGTGCCACGAAGGTCTGGCACCCAGCAGAGACGGGGTGAGGTCCAGGCCTCCTGCAGGGGCACAGGCCCCCCTACTCCTGTGACTAGACACTGCCCAGTGAGGCAGGAGCAGATGCCTGGTGCTCCCAGCCCGCCTCTGAGCCTGGGTGAGACTGGAACAAGGAAAGGAGATGGATGGAAGAGTTGGCGTCCCCATGAGCCCCTAGGGTGGGGGTGTGCTTCAGTTTGTTGCTGAAATGGGGGTGGGGGCTGGAGTGGGATAGATGCTCCTTCCTTGGCTCTTTAGAGCTGAGAAATGACCTTGAGACCTGGAATATCCACCCGCCCACTCTGGATGGGGGCAGCTAGCACCCCTTGAACTCTACCAGGGCTGCACCCTGATGGCCATAAAGCCCAAGGAGTGACTCCCCTTCCCAAACTTCACTTCCTCTGCTTGCTTGCCCCCAACTCCAGACCAAGCAGGGAGTCTGACAGAGCCCGCCCTCCTTCCAGGTTCCCCACCTCAACCAGAACGCCTGGAACAACCTGGAGAAGTACAGCCGCAGCCTGACCCGCAGCTACCAAAACGTCTACGTGTGCACAGGGCCACTCTTCTTGCCCAGGTAAGGCAGAGGGGGCTGGGCACACCAGGGCCCCCCACTCGCCAGAGACACAGCTTACTTAGCTGGCTTCTCAGTGAGCCCTTCTTTTCCTTGCCGTGGGCACCCTCATTTTAAGGCCCGAGACCTTCAGAGTACGCGCCTGGACCGTCTCCTCTGCCCCTGGCACAGGCACCAGGCCCTGAACTGCCTTTCCTGCTCTCCTACTCACGTCTTGCCACCTCCACCCAACACCACGCTCTGCCCAGATGGGTTCCCTTGCACCAGCCCTCTTGCCTCCTTGGAGCACCCCCACATTCCTCCTGGATCCAAGAACGGAGCAGTCTTCCTGGTCCTGGCCCACTTCACTCTTGTCCCTCTGCCTCCAGGTAGCAGGGGCCTCTGGGCGGCTCACTGTCTGAAGCACACCCTGAGGACTGACAAGAGTGAGCCAAGCTGTAGATTTGGGAGTCCACAGGCCAAAACCCTGTGCAGAATGGGAATTGTGCCCAAGGGTGGCTGGGGACAAAGCAGGATGGTGCTGTCACTGTGGGACTTCGCAGGGGCTGGCCAGGCCATGCACTGGGTGGACTGCTGAGGGGAGCCTGGAAGTCGGCACCCAGTCTCGGGGGCCTGCCGTGTCCCAGCCCCTGCACTGGTGCTGCTAAGTGGCTGTCGCTGCCTTGCCCATGGGGTGCCCACCCTCCAAGGAGAGACAGAGCACAGTGAAGCGCCTGCACGCAGGAAAGTGACTGTTTACGAGGCCAGGGAGTTTGAGCAGCATTTATTGCCACTGCTCACACCTCCTGGGTGCGTGAGCCAGATGCAGCTGGTTCAGGCTGTGGGCCGTGCTGGGGCCGACCTCCACTGGAGGTTGGGTCAGGGAAGGCTCCCCCAGGGAGACTGACTGAGCGCTTGGGGTCTGCCCACAGGACGGAGGCTGACGGGAAGTCCTACGTGAAGTACCAGGTAATTGGCAAGAACCACGTGGCAGTGCCCACACACTTCTTCAAGGTGCTGATCCTGGAGGCAGCAGGCGGGCAAATCGAGCTCCGCTCCTACGTGATGCCCAACGCACCTGTGGATGAGGCCACCCCCCTGGAGCGCTTCCTGGTGCCCATCGAGAGCATCGAACGGGCCTCCGGGCTGCTCTTCGTGCCAAACATCCTGGCACGGGCGGGCAGCCTCAAAGCCATCACTGCAGGCAGCAAGTAGGGGTGGCAACCCAGCCAGACTTTGGGGGGTGAGGGGCCGGGTTGCATTAAAGATGGTTATTTTTGGAGTCTTGGCTGTGTCTGGGACGAGGCCTGGCTTCCCTGCTGCTGCTCTGGGACTTTCAGTCCGACGGGAGCTCTCGGCTAGGCTGGGTACCGGCCTGGGTGAGGCCGGGCTGCAGGGCAGCCAGGGAGATGAGGATGGCTTCCTGGGAGAGAAACGTGGGGAGTGCTGGGGCCAAGGGAGACAGGCCATGTCCTGACTCCCAGCCTGTCTTCTGCTGCTCCAGCCACTTGGGGTCAGCAGGGTCCAGGAAGTCAAGGACAGGCCAGCTCTGTGGCTGGCTGCGTGCCTCGGGGGAAGGAATGGGCAGGACAGTCTCAATCCCTGGTGCACTCAGAGGGTCAGCGTTGAGGCACCCAGGCAGCGCCCCCAGGACAGGCAGGTGGCGTCATATACCTGTCAACACGTTTCTCACCCCCTTCACCCCTTGGGGCTACCCAGGACTAAAGCAGACCACTACCAGAGAAGGCCAGTTCGGATGGGCCCCAGTGCATGTGACCCTGGCAGGGCTCACCTCTGTGCGGATGGTGCGACTGCCCTGGCCGGGGCAGGTGTTGACATACAGGTCAAAGAGGACACTGGGTTCAGCCACCTCCAGGTTGGGGTCAGCATCCACTCCAGCTTCCAGCCCCTGCAGACCCCCGAATACCACGAGAGCATGCCTGGGAATCAGAGGACAGGGTTGTGGACGGCGGAGCAAGCAGCCCAGGCCTCCAGCCTGGCCCCCACCACCCCCTGGCACCACTCCTCCCGTGGCCTCTGCCAGGCCGGACCCACCTGAAGCTGGGAATCTGGGCAGAAGCCACGTCGGAGCCGTGCTCTGACGTCCCGATGGTCAGGTCGTACCCATCCTGGAAGGGGGCCTCTGTGAACACGGCACCTGAGGGTGAGGCCAGCTTTACAGGGGCCTTGCTCCTGACAACTGCGGGAGCTGGGGGGAGCATTTATACTGAGGTGCAAGGGTGGAGGAGGGGAGTTCAGGTCAGGGAGCCCCACCTAGACTAGGTCGGGGAACAAAATGGAGGTTGGGTAGGATGGGGCTGCCAGGATCTGCCTTCTCAGGGCCTTTTGCCCCCATTCCCGGCCGCCCCACAGCAGACTATTCATTGATGACAACGCTGCCGCCTCAAACAACAGCATTCCAGGCAGTGCGTTCAGAGACCGAAGCCCAGAGAAGGGAAGGAACTTGCCCAAGGACACACAGCAAGTTGGGTGGACAAGGAGAGGACCCTGTTCTGAATTCTAGGTAAAGCCAGGCTCTCTAGACAGTGAGGTGGAGGCTGCTCCAGGGGCAAGCTCTGTCCTTACTGAGGCAGGAGGCCAGTCGGACCGAGTAGCCCCAGTAGAGACCAGCCTTGGTGCGGGGGTCCTGCGACGACACGACTTTCCCATGGCGAGTCTTGTTTTCTGAGGGGAAGCGGAGAGACTGTGAAGATGGGCTGAGGGGGACAGAAGGTGGGAGGAAACAGCTCTGCACGCCAGGCTGGGCATTTTGTGTCACCTGCAGGCAGCTTCTGGTCTAGGCGTACAGTCACCCGAAGTCCCGGCTCCAAATTCTTGTCTATCTTCACCTCCTAGGAGAAGCCAGAAGAAACGGTGCTATGCTCCACAGGACCAGCAGGGCCGCCTCTCCCCCAGATTTGGCGAGGGGCCCGAGGGCTGTGCCCACCCTGGGCAGGCACCAGCAGTAGGCACGGTCCCAAGGCTCGCTGGGTGGGCACTGACCAGGCAGTACCTACCAGATGAGACCAGACCCTACGTTCTGGAGGCTCTGACGCTCACTAGGGAGATGGTTTTGAGCAGGTTAGTCAACCTCTGGGCCTGTTTCCCCTTCATGAAACAGGGAACCTTCCGTAACTGACTTCTTACACCGCACGGCCGGCTGGAGGAGCCTGAGTGCATCTGAGTGCGAGCGCTCTTCCCCAGGGCGGCTCACTTAGCCCCACCCCCACCCCCAGCACCTGCTCTGCTGTTACCTCTGGCCCTGCTGTGGGGACAGACAGCCCTTTCCACTTCTTCCTCCGCCCCTCGAGCCTGGCTTCAGTGAGGAGGTGCAGACGGACAGGCGCCTCTTTGTCTGGTTCTAGTCCAAGGCCTGTCTACTACTGATCTGCTTTTAACACCAGAATGAGTGTGCTCCTGGCTCTATCTACCGAGTCCTGTCCAGGCTCATCTCTGGCCCAAGTCTGTGAGAACAAGGGACACAGATGCCTGGGCCTGGGGGTCCCCACCACATGCTCCAGCTGGTCTGCCCACCAGCCCACCTTCTTCATTCCACAGTTGACAAAGGAGCCGTGGCCTGGTCGCGTAGGCCGGTCCACCACAACGCCCTCTCGGAACTCAGACTCCTCATCCTGGCGCATGTGGTGAGGGCTGTCCAAGGGGTTCAGGAGCCCTGTGAGGAGAGGGCCGTGAGCAGTCTGCAGGTGCCAGAGCACACACATGTGGCAGACGACCTGCTCTCCCGGCCAGTGGTGCGGGAGGACAGGATTCACCGAGAGGCAGAGTCGGGGGCAGAGCAGGCACAGACTGAAATACACTGCTGAGGGAGCAGCGGGCGAGTCAAGATGTCTGCCATGTGGGTCACTGCCCCAGCTGGGGGCCGAACTAGCGCTGCAGTGGCTGCGGACAGCTTCATGGTGCTGCGCTTTAAGCCTTGAGCCACCAGGGAGGCCCCGCCTATGGCTTCTAAGGGCGGAGGGCTTGAGCCATGGGAAATGGGGTCAGCCCCCACCCTGTACTCTCACCTGCAAACTGCAGATCCTGGTGCTTGGGGAAGAACGCCTTTCTCAGGTACCTAGGAAAGGTGGCAGACCTCAGGAGTCCAGGCGAGGACTGGACCTACCTGCCCCTCTACCCGCCCCGCACCGCCCTTACTGCGGACACTCCAGGTACTGCAGGATTCGGGCCAGCTGTACGCAGGCCTGCCCCTTCTTGCCGACTCCCCGGAACTCCCCCTCCACAGTCCTAGAGAGAAAGTCAGGGCTCAGCGCCCACGGCGCCCCTTCGGGAGGGCCTCCACCCACTGACCTCCACAGGGGCTGCTGTGCAATTCCACCGAGCACGGGCATAATGGAGGCACTTTGGGCAGGGCTCAGCCCTGGTAAGGGGGCAAGGAGCAGGCGAGGTCAGTCCGTCCAGGTGGCCCTCCCTTATCCCTGAGCCCGGTTGCCCTATGCCCCGGCCCCTACTTGGCATCCTGGCCCTCTTCGTCGAACACCACGATCTCGTCCACACAGAAGATGGCACAGGCCCTGGCAATCTGGCCCGCCAGGTAGGTGCGAAGCTCGGGCGACTGCGCGTTGTCCAGGATAGACCCCGGCAGGGCTACGCTCAGAGTGTAGGGCCGTCCTGGGCAGGGGAGACCTGGTCAGTGGGAGGTTCAGGCCCGGGTCCTCCCCTCCTTTCTCTGTCCCCAATGTTCAGAATTAGAGAAGTTTCCAATGGGGAGCTCTGAGATCCAGCAAACTAGATCCAACTGTCTGGGGGTCTCAATCTTCCCAAAAGAAAATGGACTGAATGGTCTTGGGCTCCCATGAGCTGGGCTGACCACAGGCAAGGCAGGGAGTGGCCAGGGGCTCCTTCCCTTCCTGTCTCCATCTCCACTGTCAAATGGGGATGACGACATAGCTACGAGCTGTCTGTGGGCCCATTAACCTGCAGCCCTGGGGAGCTGGACTGCCTGGCTCCCATCGAGAAAGGGGAGTCTTCGGCCCAAAGGGCTCAGAGATGCAGCTCTGCTCACAGGAAAGGCGACCCTGAGATGTGGGGTCAGGCGGCCAGCTCCAGAGGGACTACCACATGCCTGCTCTGGGGTCATCCAAAGGAAGCCACTTAAGACCAGCCACAAAGGGCTTCCACGGTGTTTGAGACAGGACATGCTCATCGCTGTCCCCACTGTCACCACCAGCACGTTAACCACACAGCTGTTCAGGGTGACCCCCGGCCCTCCTACTTTGTGGTATGGCCCAGGGTCAGGGTGTTTCTGGACACACTGATGTGGGACATCCAGGATGGAACATAGGAGGAAAAGCCAGGCCTGGCGTGCACAGTAGGACAGCCTCATTGCGTAAGAGCTCACCCAGACACCCCTGGCAGGTCAGGTGGGCATGACGTAACATCTGGGCGAACTTCCAATGCGGTGTGTGTTGGGGTGGCCCCTTCTTTAGTTTTGTGTACTGTTTTGAGCATGCAGTATTTGGTTTTAGTTTGTTTGATTGAGAATGTGTTATTTGTAACGAGAAAAACAGTATTTTCAATGTGAAATAATAATAATGAAGTGACATTGAAGCACATAGAAGATGACCAACTAAAAAGTCTTGAATCTTAACGTGATAAAGTCATGTCACTTCAATTAAAAAGAAGTAAAACTCCAGCGACTGCGACGGTGGCGACGGTGCTGAGACTCCAGAGGCATAAAGGTATGAGTCGCCCTGCTTAACCCCTGCGGGTGAGGAACCCGCCCAGGCAGGAGGCTGGGACTCAGTTTTCTGTGTGTATCCCTTCTCTGGGCCTCAGTCTCCATCAGAACTTGCTGTGTCCATGCCCTGGTCTCTGAGGACCCTTCCGGCCTGGACCTTCCCTGCCTGGCCGCCCCCGCTGCTTACCTCGGTCCTCGCTCTGCGCGGTGGCCGCCTCCTCCTCCCGGCGTTTTGCCTGTTCCTCCTGTGCCCGCTGCCGCTCCAGTTTCTTCATCAGTTTCAGGTCCTTCCATTTCTTTTTTTCCTCTTTTTCTGGATAAAAGGACATCCCGGTTGGTGGAGGAGGGAGGGGCCTGGAGCAGTCCAGGAGAGGTTCCTCTCAGGGCTTCTGGCTCCTTCCACTCCACTTGGGAGCTGTGGAACCCAGCAGGGATAAAGCGGGTGGCTCGCCCCAAGGTTGCCGTGCGTCCAGAGTGGTCTGGGTGCTCAGACACTCCCCTCCTCCCTCATCCTTACTCTGTTGCTTCCACTTTCGCCACTCGATCCTTTGGCCATGTTCACCCTGGGGTAGGAGTGGGAAGAGCAGGTATGAGAGGCTGAACGGCCACACGTGAGGTCCCCCAGCCCACTGCGGCCCCGGGAGGGGCCCCCGCGCCCGAGAACAGCCTGGCGTAGTGCGCACTCGCGCACGGCTGAAGCGGAATCCGCACCTGCCCACCATCGCCCGGGATTCTGAGAAACGCCCCGTAAGGGCTCGTGATGGAGAAGGGGTCCCACCCCCTGAACCCGCGCCCCAGGCGGACTATCCACAGGTCCGGCAGTGGGTTCCCAGGTCCTGCCGGATCCTAGCTCCGAGCCGGGAGGGCGCACGCGGCCACGACCTCCCGCGCCTGGGTCTTCCCGGGCCGGATCGGCCCGGCCACAGGTTCCCACGCGCTGGCGCTCACGCCCCCACCCCACCTCCCCCCGGAGCACAGCTACGGGACCCACCGGGCCGCAAGGCCGCTTCCCCACGCGCTGCGCCATGTCCGCCGCTCACGGTCGGCCCCGCCCCGCCCGGTCGG